ACTGCGAAATAAATCCCTTAAGTCAATCCGAAAGTTTTTTAATATCCGCCCCCGAGTTAATTGTATTATCAGACTCGGCGATGAATAATTTTAGAGAAGCTGATAGTTTGCCAGAGAGACGGGAAGCGATTAAAACTTTCGCAGCTTGTTAAAGAATCCAGTGTTGTACATGCAGCCATTAGCTACTCAGCCACTCAGCTACTCAGTTGCCATTTTATAATACAGCCCCATTAATTGCATCGGGAGCTTCAAGCCGGGTTTCTTGCCTTTCTTAATTGAGCGTTTGGAAGTGAACTTGTACATGTCGGTTCCAGTTACTTTAAAAACCGTGTTACGTGTGCTGATCAGAAGCCGAGAAGTTCGCCTTAAAAGAGCAAACGTTATTCTATGAAGTTTGCGAGTTTCAATATTGCGTTGGAACTCCTGGTGTTTCCAAGATATGTTGGGAAGTTTGTTGGACGATTTCTTCTTTGGAATGTGATTCATAGTATGAATGGTGATTACGAAAAACGTTTTTAAAAACGAATTTATTACTAAGTAATTATTACAAGTGTACTTTTGCGTGGTTGTACTCTGACTCACTTTAGCATGATTTCAATGGTATGAGAAAGACATGATGATTCTTGATAATGATGATTGGCGGAATTTCTTGGCTGCTGATACAGCGGAATCCATGGGAATTGGCCACATAACTCCTCCCTCCGAAGATGCGACTCCATCGTCTACGAGGGTAGTTGGATCTCTTGAAGTTCTATTTCAGATGACTTGGGGCGGCCTGGGCAAATGTGATACTTTTGCTTAGACAAGTGCAGTCCAAAGCCTAAAATTAACATAAAGAGACATATTAGTGTCCAAAAGATAGGGATTTTTGTCGCTTCGCTGAAGAACAATTTTGGCTCGTTCTGTTGAAATTTTTGCTGTAATGTGTAGAGCTCATCCAGGTTTACATTCGGAATATGCTGGGTTAGGTTGAGAGTGACTGGAACGTTTGCTTCTACAGGGTGTTCCGTAAAGATGTTAAAATTTAAAGGCTTAGGGGGTTCCGTAAACAGCGTGTCCTTCTAGTCATTTTAGAGGGGGGTCTTCTTGAATTTTTTTTTAATTTCTGATCTCATTGTTGATTTACTGCCAACATGACGGAAAATATTAGTTTTTGTTGTTTTTCCTTTAAAACGGTTAAACTTTGAAACTTCAATTTTGGTTTTCATTATAATCTAATTGAGTGCCATTTTATGGTAGTGTTTTGTGGTTCAGTTTACTTTTATGCAGGGTAGAAATGTGGTACCCCTATTTTTGTTTTGCTCAGAACTTTTTTGTGTGCATTTAAACTTTAATCAACATAATTTTTTAAATGACAACAAGTTATTGATCAACTTTTTTATCTCTTATCGATTTTTTCTAAGGCCTCTAGTTTGCCCGCAAAAAATGGTTTTCTCAATATTAAATTGACTTTCATCCAGTTGGGATTGAATAGATATGGGAGTAGTTAAATTGCATAGGGTATGTTAGGGGAATTTTCAACCGATAAGTTATTTTATTACTTAATACAAAAAATTTTCTAGAGGTATTAATTTTTGCAATAATGGATAGTTCGCAAATTTACTTCAATTGGTACATTTCGTGATACAACTTCAACCTTAACTTTTAACTATTCTTCATAAAGATTTTTCAATTTTCTAATTCTTGTGTGTAGTACTTTTATTTTTGCAAAAGTAATAGAATTTTCAATTTCTCGCAATATGTCAATTACTTCATTGATCATTTGATTCAAAGTGTCTTTTTAATATGCAGAATTTTTTCTTTGAGTGGTTATTTGAATTACCATTTCTATTTGACTGAGTTTTGAATATAAAAGAGTTTCATTATGATTTACTTGTTGAATAGTTTTGTTGAATTGATTTATAACGCTTACGGATAAGGAGTTTTGCCCTAATATGACATGGTTGATTTGTTTTTAATTGTTTTGTAATTCGGTGATTAGTTTTTCATATCTTTCGCCGTCAAATGCATCGAAATTACCAGTTATGGTTTTAAATATTGAGCCTTTAAATATAGGCTTCGCTTAAATCTATTACGTTGATGGATGATTTCTTCTAAGTTTCTACTCTAGTTTGTATTAAATGTAAAATCTTAATGTAGTTTGAATTAAAAATGTCGAAAAAAGATGATTTTTGATAAATTTGTAGACAATTGGAACTATAGTTTACTGATTTTTGGTGCAATTTTAGGAACTCATAAAACGTTGCCTGGCAAGTCTCACAAGTATTATATATTTTAGTGTATATGTATTTTGTAAAAGGAGAATCAAAGTAAGTCACAATTGGACAAACGCTTGGTCTTCTTGGCAAAAGGTATCTACCTGGAACTACCTATTGACAAAAAACATTATCACCGATTTTAATTTCAACTGAAAAAACTATGCAAGAGTACTTTTTTAATATCACAAATTTTCGTGAAAATTGTTATTTTTCTTTTCAAATGCCTAAGTATTCCAAGAGGCTACCAATCAAACATGGGACAATTTCAAAGTAATACTAAATAATATAGTTGAAACTCGGTTTTGAACTGTTGAAGTGTTTTAGAAATTTTCTTATACCCTTTTTCTCGAAATCTTCTAAACGTTCTTGTACATATTAAGCATGTTATGCCTGTTTGTCCATGCCTACTTAGCTGCTCGCATTTTGTATTTATTTCTCTTCAATTTCTTAAGTTTTGCTCATGTTTGGCTCCTAATAGTCTTCCTTCTTTTAGATGATCCAATAGTTCTTCCAGCATCCATTGTTTCTTCTGGAATCCTGCTGCTATTCCTATGATATCTAAGTCTCGTGTTCACTAAACAAGATTCTTGTTTCATCAACACTTTTGATCGCTCTAATTTTCCTTATGTTATTACTTGCATAGTTTAAGGCGTTAGTTATTGTTTTGTAATTCGGTGATTAGTTTTTCATCTCATATCTATAGCCGTCAGAAGCATCTAAATTACCAGTTATGGTTTTAAATATTGAGCCAATCCAATTAATTGAGGGATTATTTCTTCTGACTTACTTTCTCCTCTGTTTTGTGTTAAATGTAAAATCTTAGTTTGAAGCATCAAAGTAATCTTGTTCGTGAGTACTTATCAAATGAGATAATTTTGCTGCTTTTGTGTGAAGCTTATTCATTTCAACAATTATTGGATTTAAGTCGTAAAAGTGAATCAATGTATAAGTACATTGTTGCAATTTTTCAAATCGACTTCCAATAGAATTACGTCTGCATTATTTTCTAATATTCTCAAGCAAATGTGCTCTGAAAAAGTTGAGTGTAATCTTTCAATAGTATCTACCATTTGATTGGGGATGGTTAGGAGAGCAGAAGTGAATATTTACTTTATGTAGTTGAAGAAGTTCGGTAACGGTGGAATTTTTAAATTCTGCCCCATTATCAACTACAACTTGATTTGGAATTTTGTGATGCGAGAAATAAAATAAAATATTATCTGCTGTTTCTGTAGATGACAAAGATTTTAAAGGATAAGCTTGGGCATACTTCGAAAAACTGTCAATAATGGTTAAAAATTTTGATTGTTCTAGAAAAACTAGTTTATTAACAGGGAAAAGCATGCTTTTCTCTAGATGATTATCTTGATTGCACATATTTTGCACGTTTTTCCACTTGCACTTTCGAACCATTGGCCCCAATCTGCGAAAGAATGCTACATGGATTTTCTTCCCAAAACAAAAATTTTGCGACATATTTTGCAAAAAACACTTTGCTGAATTTCAAAAGAAATTAAGACATGAGCTCTGAGCCTCACAGTACACCCAAAATCCGTAGATAATTTGCTGTTGAACTTGAGGGTGTTTTTTGTGGCCAGACTGCATCCATTTGGTTCAAAAGGCTGCACGACCGTATCCAATTTGTTCGACGGACATTTTCATGATAAATGCGCAACACGGCCAAGGAATTTTATTACACTTATTAAGTTCCTTATTAGAATCGTGTTTGGTCGACGTGCGGATTCGAAAATAATTACACGCGAACCGTATTTTCCTGCCGGACAGCCGGTTAATTACGGATTCCAGGTAGTAGCAATATATTGCAGCAAATTAGGGAATAGTTGAGATGTAGGCCAATAAATCTCATTAGCGTCGGTGTTAATTGCGCCCCCATATTATTGGATATTATTTACGATTTGCATTTGGTGCGACCCGACTGTTCACCCAATTTACCCAACTGGATCAGGTGCCAGTTAACTTAGTCCGGAAAAAAGTCGTCTGGAATCCGGGCTTTAACCCCCCCAAAACAGAATACGGCTTGTTGATAACATCGTCGAATTGGCCCAATTCCAGCCTAGTGTGTAGACAGTTACTGCCCTGCTCTAATTTAGAAGTTTAATTAGTTCCAAACACACTTTGTTTTGTTGCGCTTAAGTGTGAGATTAGTTGCAGCACATGATTCCAACCCCCAAGATGTCCGATGCGAGGCCTGCGGTGACATCAACATAATGGGAGAATGCGGGGTTTCTCTCTTAATTACTATCTGAGATTGCTTAAGGTTTCGGTGGCTCAAAGGCGCATTTTCCTATAGAATGGATCACTTCTGAAATGTTCCGAGTTGAGTTAACTTTTGTTAACAGGGCGTACCTAAAGTGAAATTTGAATTGCCCACAAAATTGTGAACGCGTCTTGTCATTTCAACTAGTCTTTTCATGTTGGCTATCCCAGAAACTGAGCTATTTGTAAAAACGATAATAACAGATAATCTGCCCCATTTACATTAAAAACGTAAATAGCTGTAGATAAGTTCTATATTGTTGAAGCGGATTCATTTTTTACAAACTTCTTTTTGGATATTTCGCCTCAAAAATTTTTGTCTTTAAAAAAGACAGAATTTCCTCACGTCTTTTATTACAG